CTGTAAGAAATTATCATTATTATCAAAATATTAATAATATTTTTGTACGACATTCATAAAATAATTCGATACTTCATAATAATTTTCATAATTTCACCTGAGGAATTTGCGACAGAGATCTCCCAGATTTGTCGTTACTCGTAGATTCACCATCCTCATCTATATTTAAATCAGGTTCATCTAATTCACCAGCTAACATATTTGCATAGTATAAAATTTTCATAACTTTCGTGGGAGCAGTAATAGTGTCCGCATCTTGAACGCAATAATCTCGCGTAAAAGATCCACCTATAACCTGTAGAAATGAAAACTCTTATAGATAAAAATATTTTGCTATCAAAGCTTTTAATGATTTCAATTGTACTAAATAGTTATACCTTAACAGTTATTAATTCTTGCAGAGCTTGTAAAATACTTGGGAGTCGAGATTTACAATGTTTAGCCCACACACGTGCTAGTTTAGCTTGTGCCACAATAGGGAAACAGCTCAGTGCTTTACAAAGCATATGAAGAGCAAGTTCCAAATATTCACTGTTTCCAAGCATAGGAATTTCAAATACAATTAAAAATACGTTTAACAAGCTATCCATATTATCCCATGGCATAATACGAAATACTCTCAAATCTAGTTCAATATTATCTGCCAAAGTGACTAGTGCATTAACTAAAGCAGATTTGAACACTTCTCCTAAATACCAGAAAAAATTTAAGAAACAATGTATTGATAAGCTTTATTTAAGATGTTTATTTTACAAAACACTTTTTTACCTGGTAAGGACCAAAGAGCAGCAAAAGCTCTTCGCACAGCTGGTAAATCAATGCTAGTATCATCATTGTTAGGAACTGTAGATGATGGTTCACTGCTGTCTTCTTCTTTGTCTTCTCCTTGAATAGATCGAATTGCTTCTTTATCCATATCACCAGGTGGCCTTAATAGACTATCTGAAGCTCTATTAAGAAGTGCAGCCAGAGGAGAGTCATTTTTTACAGTTTTTTGGAAACTAAGACTTAATGCTTTTGCACATGAAAATATCTCTCCCAATGTACGAATTAATAATGAATAAGATCCCTCTGATTTACATCTTTCTATTATATCCAATAGTTTTGCTTCTGTAAGATATGGATCTTGCTTTCCTGTTGACAAAATAATTGAATATTTTTATCAAAACATTTATAAATAATTTACTACTATATGTAATTGTAAAAATGCATTATAATATATATTTAACTATGTATAGTATTTTAAGTTAGAAATAAATAACAAGAAGTAAGAATCAAATACAATATTTATTAACATATACATAGCAACTGCACATGAATTTGATAAACAGTTTTTGTTAAAACTTTTGTAAAATAGTCATATTAAAAATTATTATTGACTTTCAAAAACACGTTTTGTGTACCTTTCTCTTTCAATGCATCTGAGATACAAATTAAGTATTAATAATTTTGTAATAAATTGAGAATAACATTTTTTATGAAACTTTTTCTTGCAGGAAAGTTTTTTTGGAGAATAATTACGTTTACGTTTCTTATTCGTTCTATATGTCGATGATGCTTTTGTTCTTTTATATTTTTTTGGTTTAATAATTGAATTGTTATTATAATTTGGAATATGAATTTTATACCTATCTAGTATTCTCTGAAAAATTTCTTCATCTGATATTGATTTATTTGGAATGGAATTACAATTGTAATCTGTTTTGAAAAATTGATGTGAATGACTATCTCTATCCATTGATAGGATAGGAAGTAAAACAGGTGATTTTTCTTTTAAAACTGATTGCTCACAAACCTCCATGTTATTTAGTGATTTGCTTTTGAAAGGAATTTGAGTACTTTTATCTGTTAAAGCTTGAGATGGAGATATCAAGTCATTTGTATCAACAGAAATGTCCTTCTTTACTGGGGATGTAAGAATGTCAGTAGCTGAAGGAGCAGGGCTTATGTTGGAATTTGATGCAGTACCTTCATCTGAACATGTCGGATTCACGCTTTTAACTGGCAAACTCTTAGCTAAAGATGCTGGTCCAGGTTCTAAAGTTGTCCGAGCTACTTTACTAGGTTGCGTTCCATCGCAAAGTCTTGCTTCTTGGGAAAATAATTGAATAGCTTGCGCAGCAGCTTGATTTGGAGTCAGATTTGTTACCTGTTCAAAATATAAATTATATTAGCAACAAAATACTTCCAACAAAAATAAATGTTAACAAAGGTTTTAAGTTATGCACTTTTCCACTTGATGCACAGTTTTGATTATCACAATCAGGATTGCCACATCCATCAGTTAATTGATAAAAATATCGCTCGATCAACTTCTTGGCAACTGCACGCTTCATGTCGCTGCAAGGGCTCTTTGCTTCTCCCCTAATAATGTAATAACAGAAGGTAGGGATTACAATATTTGTACTGTAACAGATATTCTAAAACAAAATCAAAAGAAAAATTAGTATTATGTAATAAACGTAAGTTAAACAATTCAATATCTTTTATAATGTTAAAATATCTTAACATTTTGATACATAAAGGATAATTCAATCAAAACTTATTAGTATTTGTGTGTTTTCGTATTTTGCAGTGAATTACAAGAGTTTAAACATAATCATAACCTACAAAGTATATGCATATGATTTTCTAGCAGGTTATATTACATTTATATATACATTTAAAGAATTTTGAATTTCTAGTATTTGGCAATAGAATTGCGTAAAAGTTCTCTTCCGTATTAAACATAAAAATTAAAATTTTGCTATAAAAGCCCGGACATCAAATCGAGCATAGTAACGACATAAATAAAAAAAGCGAATTTAATTAAATTAGAAATGTTTTCCGATGCTTGTAATTCATTTAACTAAGAACACATGCTTGTGACATGTTACCAATGATTCGCGGTGTTGCCAATTAAAGAATGACAGTTCAGAAAAAGGATCAACTTCTCAATGTTGGGAAGCGAATGGAGTCGTTGCACCAAAACAAAGCACGTTAAAAATAGTCTAGCCTCGTAGATTCGTACGATATTATATTTCGCGATATATGCAAATAGTGTGTCGTACTCGAAGAACCAGTGATAAAAGATAGGGGTAAACAATGACGAAGAAAGTTCTAGATAAGTGGTATAGAATATCAATATACACCTGGAAGCGTGATCTTCCCCAGGGTCTTCTTGGCCCCTGTTGCTCATAGACCGTGAATCTTCAAAATTTTGTCTCCCTCTCTGTCGGTCGCAATAGGAAATCTCACCACGATCGTTTCTTCCGTTTTGTTTCGGGGTATCGTCGAACCACTTATACACTAACACTAAATTTAGTTAGACACTTTCTTATCGACGGTTTTCAACCACAATGTTCGAGTTACCAAGTTAATACGTTTTTACAACGTATTACGTATTTGCTGTACACACTTTAGAATAGAATAGAGAAAGAAAGACGAAGTACATAGATAGAAAAGTATTAGAAAGGGAGAGGGAGAGGAAAAGAGAGAGAAAGAGAACGTAGTATGGTTTTGAGCTGGAGGTATATTTGTCTGTAACTTGAAACGAATGTTTGATCGAGGTTAAGTGAACACTGCGAACGTGAGTGCACAACCGTTACAATGTCCGTTGATCGTGTGACTCGTCGATCTCGTTGCTACACGAATTTTTCAAATCAATATTACAACACCGAGAGAGAGGAAAAAAAAATTATTTTACGATTCCTTCTTGACTGCTGTCTACTGTTCTACACGGCCACGATCAGCTGCGATTATCGAGATTCTCGATTAATCGGGCACAGCGATATTTCTCGATTTATCGATAACTCGACCAAATGTGACCTAGATCATGCGTCAAGATCGTTTTAATGCTTTTGATATTAATTTTTAGTGAGTATTAATATTGATTTTTATAATAATCAATATTATCAATAAAATATCAATAAAATATATTTAATAGAGTTTATACATACATTAATATTAATAATCGATCGTGGTCGTACTAATATACATACATACATATGCGTAAAAGCAGGAAATACTTACATATGTATATGTAAATATTTCTTTCGTATAGAAATGGTCACGCATATTTTTGTCTTATACTTTTTAATTACCTAGTGTAACATTTCATTTCTTATTTTTTATTATAATTTAATTTACCTATAAACTCTATACTTAATATTCGTTTTTTAGTATTGTCTCAATACTCCTTTGTTATTGTTATCTATAAATTACGAAACTCCATCTTGGATATTGTAAAAGAACACAAGAGTCGATTAAAAAGTGAGTGGTGAACTTGAAAGTCTGATATTTTACGCAATAAAATTTAAATTGCGTTTATATATTAATACCAAAACATTGGAATGTTTTACTTAACTTCGGTTCAGCTTCATCTAGTACATATCGTACATATATATGTATATACACATATACAGCAGTTTCATGTTTTGTCGATAAAGTTTCCTCATTTAAAATTCCTCTTTATATCGAATAAAAGATACGAGACAATCTAATCCATGAATTCGTCAGAGAAAACTTGTTAAAAATATTTCATTCTTTTCTTCCGATGCTGAATTCCATTTACCTTTTTCTTAAAAAGATAATAGAATTTTTAATGAACTAAATTACGCATACCGTCAGCGAGATTTCTTACAGAGAAATAAAGGAGGACGTTCTTTTTATATTTGAGAACATTATGTGATAAAGTATAGTGGAAAAATTTGGAAATTGAATGGAAAATTTTCTTCGTCGTCTTCATTTGCCTTTTGTAATCGGGTATAATGAACATTCTCATTATATATTTAGATATCAAAAGGAATGAGAATGGATATAGCTTCTTTCCGAAGTAAGCACAAAAACATAATAATCTACTCATTAATTTAGATTACTCTAAATTTAATTGATTGATAACGTTGATTATGTTAACTATTAATCTTCGAGTAAATCCAACCTACGATATTTTATTCCAAAATATGTATAAACGTATGAATTTATATAATATTGTTACACTTAGTTTTATCTGCGTTTTTATTACGAAAAAGTTTAGCAATATTCATTAATAAATAAAAAAAAATGCATTAAGGATACTTACAAAACTTCGAGCTATTTAAAAGCACGAAGTATGGAATAAAAATGTGGTAGAAGATTCTACATATTTAACGGTGAAGTTTCTCAAAGAGAATATCGATTTCATGCTAAATCTAGCATGCATTATCACGGACGGCGCCGAGTATAATTCCTTGGCCGATTTCGTGACAATGAGTAAACGAGGAGCAAACCTGGGTTGGAAAAGTTTGAAGTCAGCGGAGTCTTTCGACAATTTTCAACGGGTTCGGGGCGAATATAAAAGGAAAATTGAGCTTTCGGGACGAAACGAGGGTCTAAGGCGAACAGGAAACCATTAGTTCACAGGAAAAAGGGTGAAATTATTGATGCCAAATGGTGCCACTTGGCCAGACATGCGAATAATGCTGCTTCTCCGGTCACGCCTTTATACATATACGCAAACTGCGTTTCGTACCAACCAGGGACCATAATTGTTACAACCAAAATTAAGAAAGGTATAGTATAGCAATTCATATCTTATGATTTTAAGTGATTCTGATCAGAAATAACCATTACAAATGATTTTTTCATTATTTGTTTCATGTATATGTACATATGTAAATATTGTGATACGTAGCGATCAGTAATGTGTGTGGAAAATGTGCATGGTTCATCCAAGATAGCGTTCATTTTCACGTTTAGTAGCGTCTTAAGAATACTTAATGCGTATGTGACTTTTCTGTGGATACCTGCGAGTGGGACTATCGCGATGCGCGTATGAAATTTGTATAACATTCTTTATGTGCTATTATTTATTAATTATTTATGGAGGCAAAAGATTGGAGGAAACATTAATCTTGTTTACTTGGAAATTGCATCAAACGGTTTCCGGTATGCTGTTATGGATGTTAATGACTAGACAGGTATAATGTTTAATGTGGATTTTTCTTACAGAACGTCGTGCAGAATGGTTTACGTCTTCAAATGCCATAAGCTTCTTCTCTACGACTTGTACGAGGTAAGTTGCTGCCCACGTATCGTTAGATTTGAGGATCCCTGTGCACCCCGTTGCTTAGGCTGACCTAATTTCGTTCATGTAAGGAGGTTTGCCCGCATACAGGGATCTTTCGACCGATCTTTAATTGTCAATAACTAAAATACAAAGCCGAAAATGCAATTTTTTAATTCTTGATTTTCGTCTTATTTCGACATCAAGAATCATCCCTTAAATTTTCAAATACCTGTATTCGAACATTCTGTTTATTTATTGTATTTATTACAGCATTTGCATCCTAATTAATTAGGTCTTAGGAATATTAAATCTCGTATTATAACTAGAACACTTTGATACTACAAAAATGAAATATAAAATATGTATACCAATACTTTTTGGACTGATTGATGGTATAAATTTCTTTTTATACCATCTTTTTACATTTTGATTGTAAACAACTTTGTTTTGTACTACTTTCAACCATCGTTAATTTCTGTTAACATTACTGATAATAAACAATACCTAGAGGTAACACATTAAAATTGGATTCCTACGGTTGAAGTGCAATTATAATGACTATATTAATTACTAGTAGTGTTAATAAAAATTGACAATGATGGAAGATAATAAGAAAAAGTTTTCGCCCGTGATAATGATTACTGACTTACTTACAAACTAGGAAACATTGACAACAATATTTTTACTACTGATAATGGTTGTTGGTGACCAAAAAAAGATATCCCATAATATGATCATCAGTACAAACAAAGAAATGTTAATCATTCGTAATAATTATCCGTGTAACCAGATCACTCAAAAATTAATATTTTTGATTCGTTTAATTTTCTGCTTTCGACTAAAATAATAATTACGTTTGTCTCAATAATTTTCTCGTAAAAACGAAAGAAAAAATATGTTATTTTTTGCCTCTGGCTTGAATACGTTTCTCGCCACTTTCTTGTTAATTGCAACGTTAAAAATACGCGTCGTTCGAGCATTACGTTCCGTGGCTCCGTTAACTTTCTGGGGAAGGAAACACGGTCGGAAAGTGCAGGGAAAAGGAAGAAACGGAAGTTTTGGTTAACGATCGCGTGGTTGCAATTATTTTTGCGTTTGAATTTTTCCCAAGTCTTAAAAACAGGAAAAGAGCAACATTTTTATAAAAAGTAATTTCGAGATCAAAGTTTGATTCCGCCACGTGTATGCGGTTAAAACAGAGGTAAATTATACTTGTTGGAATATGATTTTCTAGCAATTATTTAGTTTGTGTCTATTTTTCCCCTTTTGTTCGATTATGTTTTATATGATATTATGCGGACGTGAATATTCTGTGTACGATATGAATATTTTGCTATTCAGAAGTGCTCGCATATAACTTTTGCTACTCAGGTCCAAGATGTGAAAAATTCTCTCAATTTCTTACCACATGCGTATGAATTAAAAATATTTTAAACGTAGAAGAATATGAACATAAAAAGATAAGAAAATAGAATGTGATTATTATGCTCTATTTTATATACAAATGATGGATAATTAATTTAGCACAGAATGAATGTGTTGTGATACATAAATGTAGGAAATCAGATTAAATAAATTTAGGATGGACATCTATATTTAGAATATTTTATTCGTTTTAAAATCTCTAGAGAGGCAGAAAAGGAATTTCTGATATATTTTCGAACTTTTATTTCTATACTCAAGTGGTGTTTTATATTTTACACTTTATCATAATTGAAATTGACGACTAAACACACTCGAAATTATTTTTACATTCTTTTAAATACATTCATCCTTGCAGATTTAGAAATTTCCTCAATAACTTGAATAATGGATAATGTGTGCTATCGACGAATTATCAAGTTTTTAAGTTGACAGTGTAATTTAAAGTTCTCGAGATCGCTCTCGTAGCAGATAGCTCGGACCATTTAGCCGGATGATCGAGAGTCGCTGATTAGACAGAAATCGGTGCTCGTGTGAGTAAGGTGTCATCAGTAATTTGGTGCCGAGCCAACTACTCCAGATTTTTCGATGATACACATCTATATCTATCCTCGAAATATGTCAAAGGTTTATAACAGTATGTTTTCTTCGAAGACGATGCAAAAGGAACATTACTCGATTTGATACGCCCTCGAAATCTTTTAATAGCTACCAAAAAATCGATGTTCGATTTTTCTTTTGGCAACGAAAGTTTCCACATCGAAAAGTTACCACAAGTTCAATTATAACTTATCGTTTTGATATGCAGTAAGGAGCAAAACTGAGCCAATAGTAACAGCTTTTCTGTAAATTATTATCTATCGTCATAAACAATAAGGAATATGGAAAATAAATGTAACACATACGATTGTCGTGGTTAGAGAAAATGTAAAAAATTCTTTTACAGTATAAATCTTCTTTATTTATCTGTAGTAAAAAAAATCGATTAACCCATTTTTACACCACGTTATCAAAAGTTTAATATTTACAGTATTAGTATTTTGTTCACAACTCTTTTGCTTATAAAATAGCATTAATACGTCTTGCAATACTCTCTACAAGAATTTGATAATAATCCGAAGGTATTTGTTCCCATTGTTCCAGAATTCTATTATGCAATTCCATAATTGATGATGGCAATGAATCATGCGAATCACGCATTCGTCTTTTTCATAATCCTCATAGATTCTCTATGGAGTTGAGGTCTGGGCTTTGTACAGGTCAATGCAAAACCAAACATTTTTGAGTTTCCAACCAATTCTGTACGTTTCTAGCTGTGTGTTGTGGCTATTTTTATTTATTATATTTTCTTCCACGAATGGCATATTTTCAATAATATCTGGGAGATGATGTTACAAGTTATCTTTGTACAGTGTATGGTAATGGTAATAACTGGTAATAACGCAAAGTATATAATGTTGAGCTAATTTTAATTAAATCATATCGTAGGGGATTAGCTAAATTAACTTAACATGTAAACTGATGTATTCGTCTCTTATAAAACCTTGTGGATTTACCACAATTTTTTTATTTCTTCGAATTTATTAGGTCATACCCTTCTTCAACTGTTTTATATTAGAATACTTCTTTTTAGTCAACAAATGATACAAAAGTAGAGAAACGAAGAAAAAGAAAATAGACTTATCATGTTTTTCCTATGGTCATTAAATACTATAGTATTGTGGATCATCGATTTTGATCCCTTTAATTAGTTGTGTTATTTTCAGGGATATGAAAAGACTTTATTTATAAAAATTCTATTGTATCGAGGGATAATTTTTTCGTGGGTGTAGGAAACTTCAAGATCACCCTCGTATTTTTTTTAAATAACACATTATATTTTTTATGCCTGGTAGAATAACCTCTAGATAATAAATAAATTCAGCACATATTTTTACAAAATTTTTTTCTGAAAATGTTGATATAAAAATACAAACTAACATCAGATTCTTATCGAGATCGATCCGTATTTTTAACATAAATTAGTTTCAACACTGGGATCAACGCTGTCTACCTTTAATACTGAAACATATTGCATATAGTCAGTCGATGTTAAAGCAATATGACGAAAATAAACGAGTATGTATGAGCGAAAGCTGTACGTTTTTAATATAATAATTCTAAACACAAAAATTGCGATATCAGCCATTTTGACTGATTTAGCAGTTTCAGTGATAAATATGATAAGAATGTGCCGTAAGCGATTACAATTTATGGACTTTCGTCACGATTTTGCAATTTCCGGCTCATCGAATGTTGGAAATGCACGCCAGATAGTGGCCATTCGAGAGTTGTGCAGGATAATAGACCAGTGGAGAGCAGATACGCTCCGCTGGAATCGCGAGAGGAAATCATTAAACTCTCGCGAAGGTCTATTCAATCTTCGAAGCAAAGACGCACTGGCACAGAAGAAAATATGCGATCTATCGATCTGACGGCTCGAATTTAATCAAACCAAGAGAAAAGCGTCCACAGTCGACCCCCTTTTTCTCTTTTTTCTTTTCTTTTCTTCCTCTTTTCCTTTTTTTTTTTCGAAGCCAACACAGCCTCGCGAGACAATCGTTGTCGTTATCGCAGACGAAAGCAAAAACTCTTTCAAAAAAGCAGGAACAGAATGAAGTAAACAGGCTTTTTTTCACAGTCGAAAAGCTGGAACTGGGGTGGCGAACACGATAGAGATTCTGCGAATGGGAAGCAGAAAAGTACACGGATTTACAGAGACCAGGGGTCGCTTGATAGGGGATGAAGCTTCCGCTTGGATGCGGCCGAGTTTCGATCAAGGCCAACTTTGCCATTCGTTTGTTACCCTTCACCCCTTCTACGTCTATCTATCTTTCCGTCCCTGCGTATTTCTTTCCATCTACCTCTCTTTGTCGCTCTATTTTTATTCTCATCTTTTATTCGCCCCTTTTTGTGATACTTCACGCTTTTTTTCATTGCTCTCGCTGTTATCGCCACCTCCGTTTGGTCCGATTGTTTCTCCTTTTTCCCCTTTCCTGTTTCCCTACGAAATTGTATCGTACATCCTGCTCGGTCCATTGAATATTCGTAAAAAACATGTTCCATCATAGAGAATATGTTCGAGCGATCGAAATAGATAAACAACTGGTTTATTGTATGCAGTGACTATAGAAAATATACGCACGTCCCATTATCTTCTAATGAAGTAGCTTTTTTTATCAACTTCTATATCTCGTTTTCATATTGAATTTTTCTTGTTGTGTAAGAATACTAGCAGATCATCTAATTCATTAGCACGTAAACGCTATAATAAATACGGTGGATGCATACAATATCTCTTCAGCTACTGTATGTTAGTTTAGTCAAGTATCCGATTGTATCGATGTATAAGTATCTCGTTTTCCAGTGAATGTTTCTAGCCAATCACAAACCGATCAAAAACTCTCCAATGCGATTAAACACTGTTCAGAATACACTACAGTATGCGTAAGATTTTTCAAAGTTCCGAGATAAAAATTATTATTACAAAATGTTTGAAAGTTATTCGATCAAGTGGCCAAGTTTTCATAATATTACAGGCCGCAGAGTTGAGAATTTAAGGTCCTAGACTTGGACAGGTTTGAGATCTGGAATCTTAAATTTGGAGCCAACGGTTGGTGATTAGGGTCTAAAAGCTCGAGCTTCGTTGGAAGTTTACGGCTTGAGTTTTAGAGTCTGAGTTATTAGGAATTGGATTCGCAAGCTCATGA